TAGTTTACAAACATAGCAGATATAACCAATCGAGCAACTTATGTTCAAAAAAGTAACACCTGCAATAAGCAACCGGTCCTAATAGAAAAAGAGTAAATCGATAAAATCATTTTGAATAAAAAACCGTGCAAGGATTTAAAGATTGGACAAAATCTGGCACTCCTGCTGGTTGTGAAAAAAATAATAGGCTGATTTAGCATCAGGACGGGAACGTCAGTTGACGAAGGGAAAGCACACGGAACTTCCAGTGCCCAATTTGCAGCTCTGCCATTGGTCAAGCCATTAGTTTAATTTGCGCGCGTCGTCGTCAACTGACGTTCCCGTTCGGTTGCTAAATCAGCCTAATGACTATCCAGAAAGTCCTACTCTCCCCCTCCCCCCAACTGTTCGTTCCGGCATTTCTAATGGTGATGGTGTATTTCTTATGAAAGGGAACCACGGACAAAACCGGTTAACACCCTACAGAACAAAAAATATAGCTCGTGACATAATAGATGTTTTTACAAGCTGATATCAAATGTATCAAAATCATGGGAAGAAAATTAAATTACGAACATAACATCAGGCAGGAGCCGACTAGAATAATCGGCTCCTGTATCGGGTCATACTGCAATAATGTAAACCATAGTCTAACCCAACCTCGTACCCAGGGCATTTTTTTGGGGGGAGGGGGGAAGGCCTTCCCATTTTCTAAGGGAAAAAGTCCAGGGAGCGAGGTTGAGTCTAAGCTAACTTTTGACTGCGTTCTATGACTCCTTCAATCTTAAGAACAAATTGTGTATCCAGTGTTACCCGCAGTTGGCTCTGAGGAGGACCGGGGCGAGGGTGACAACGCCGGCTGCAAGACTTAATAGGGCCTAGCCTGCGAGCAAGCTCTCCTGTTTAGGCGAGCGAAGCGAGCCTCGCGAGAACACGCGAGCGAGCGGCGAAGCCGCGAGGGGCAGAGGGAAGGAGAGCTTGCAACGATCTCTCCTAAATTTTCATTTCTACCCCGGAAACCCCGGGACTCCGCAAAGCGTGAAAACTGTCACCGCAAATGTGCCGCAGATTAAAAAAGTGACAACCGCCTGTCAAGTTTAGACAGCCGAGGGCGCGTAGAATTATTTATTTATAAATCAGTTTCGCAACAGCATCAAAACAATGTTTTTAATCACTGAAGATATGCTTTTTTTTCCACGGGGACATCGAACTTCAACTTGTCCGCTCGGATGAAAACTCAATACTTTGATTCTCGTTTCGTTTACTTTTGAAAAGTCGTCCATACTGCAGTGTAGACTACTCCCCGTCGCAATCCCCAACAAAAACATTATATATTAGACTTGTATTTGTCCGTTCTGGAACTGGAGAATAGCGTTTTCCTGGACTTGGTTCTCTTAAGTTGTACTCCAGTTGCTACCAACTCTTTCTCTTGCCCTTCTTTACAGTCAAGCTACACAGCTACACTGTCAAGTGCATGTTTCTGACTTTTTCTACCCAGTGGAATTAGCTGGAATTCAATCGGTCGAAGAAACCGAAGTTGGAAGGCAGCGCTTGGACCGGGCGCGTGAATCTCTCTTCACTTTCACTCTTCTCGTTTTCAGAACTAAACAAGGCGCTTGACACAAACGAATACAACTGAGGAAGGGTTTTCATTTTCCTTCCACAAGAACTATAAACTCGGTCCGACTTATCCTCGGCTCTCAATATTCTCTTTGCGAGAACTAAATCAAACGAGCCCCCACGTCAGCTTTGAGGGCTGAAACAAGTTGTGGGTACCAATCTGATCCCCCTGAGAACCAAACTTGACACGCTGACGAAGGAGGTGCCAGCTTGGCCTGTTATCAATCAACTTTGTTTACGGAACGTCATTTATCAGCCAATGGTATTTCCCTTCGTCTGAGCGAAGTACAAATGAAATTTTGTGAGAGATCGTTGCAAGCTCTCCTTTCCACTGCCCCTCGCGGCTTCGCCGCTCGCTCGCGTGTTCTCGCGATACTCGCTTCGCTCGCCCAAATAGGAGAGCTTGCTCGCAGGCTAAATAGGGTCGTTTATACGAGGAAAAATAAGACGCGTCTTACATAGGACGCGTCTTAAATAAGACGCGAACTTTCCGTATAAACGGCACATTTCGTCTAAAATAAGACGCGGCTTAGCTAACACGCGTCTTATTTTAGGCGTGAGCCCTTAACAACCGTTCTTAGATAAGATGCGTCTTAGCTAAGACGAGAAAAACTTCGTATAAATGACCTTCGCGTCTTACATAAGACGCAAACGCATAGTACGCATGCGTTAGATTTTGGCGCGCCACGTTGGATTGCCGTTGCTACGGGCAACATTCACATAACAACGAGTCAAGAATAGAAATACGACGCGAACCATTCATACGAGCTGTTCTCGTCTTAGATAAGACATGCTCGTATAAATGGTACAGTTCGCGTTTTTTTTAAGACGCGTCTTATTTTTCCTCGTATAAATGGCTCTAATGTTGCTTTCCACTGAAGCGTTTTTAATCACGTAAAATAGAGACAAGATAGAAGGTGCTGAGCTTAAAAGAGAAGTTGAGCGAGGTTCAACTTTTACGCTTACGAGCGACCTTTCATACAATTTTATTTGCGAACGTAAATTTTACGCACGTACGCACGTAAAAATTACGCGACACTGGAAATCCACTCTTAGTTTACCAAACGTTTAGTATTGATCGATCAAAACTTGACAATGTTTCTCCAAAAAGAGTTATTGAAAGCTAACACATTTTTAAAGTTCTTGAATTTCACACAGAAGAAATTTCTATCGACAGCAAATTTATTTCAACCAGTTTACAGCCCCTTCATCATGATTTATATTACCGGTACTAATCTTGAGCTGAAACAGAACTAAGACAAGATAATACAAGAACTTTAGTTTTATACAACACACAGAAATAAAAGACAGAAAAGAAAGACAATATTACTTTCAGATGGTCTGTCAGACAAAATAGTGTCATCCGCTCCGTTTGTACACTGACTGCCTGACCTGTGTTCTCATGATTTTTGTACACATGTACTTCTTCCCTTGCACTGTACATTCAATAATCCCGGCGTTTTGTCTGGTTGACAAAGACAACATTGTAGACCAAACATTGACTTCAGATGAAGAGAGGGAGAATTTTGAATAATGATTTAACGCCATTCCGTATATAAAATCCCTATTTAAACAGAAACAGCTACGTCTGGACGGGCAAAAATAATTGAATTGCTGCAAAATTAGTTATGAATAAGCACGTAGCAGGACTCTCTAATTGCCTAGTTTTTCACCTGCAACAAAAGCAGACATTTTCCGAATTTGCAGGTCAGCAAAACTTTTGAAATACCAAATTCTCAGAAAATTCAGACCAAGCGACTACGTGATCAGCTGTGATCGTTCATAAATGCTTCAATTAAAAACGAGCTACATTCGCTTCAGGCAAGGTGTTAAGGTGAAATGCTGCTCTGTTGTAGAATAAAGCTAATTTTTTAAGAAAATAAATTAGAGTAGAGCAACTACTATTCAGAAAACAAATATTTTTAGAAATCATTTCTGAAGTCGAACTAATACAGTTAAATAATTTTCTGAACGAAACGGACACCTATCAAGTTGGTTGTGTTTGTAGTCCTTGTACTATGAATAGGCCTTTGTTGGCTTTTGCAGGATTATTAAACAAAGAACCAAAAGCATAAAACAAAGCATCTCAAAAACAGCACGAGCTGCCACGGCTGAATGCGGCTAATTGTAAACGCAGTAAAATGTCTCATAAAAATGTTATTGCTAAAACGAAAATAGCAGGGCATGAAACTTAGCTAAACATAAGCGAAAATTAGAAAGTTAAAGGTCATTAACTTACATCAAAAACCCCTATTTAAATTATAAATAATAATTACTTGAATTAATTGAGTTACTGAAAAATTAGTTATGAATAACGATCTTAAATCTTTTCCACCCCTAGACTCAAACACTTCACCGTCTTTTGCTTGACTTGATGTAACTACAATCCATAGTTCAAGGAGGCCTAATATCTCATAAGGTTTCTATAGTTTCCTTTAATTTATGTGATATTGCCACTTTATGCTTTTTCTAGTTATTTTATATTTTCTTCCCTTTTTTCTATTTTCTTGGGCCAAAAATTAAAATTGGATAAATTAATAAAAATTCGAAACCGTTTTGATTGGATGCGAATATTTGTTAAACTGGGGGTCAAAATTGGTGCATGGCTATGGGCATAAGTGCGTCGTTTATTAGTTAAAGAGGTTATTAAGTTGAATAATCATTTTGAATAATAAATAACGCCGTATGTCTAATCAATACAAATATAAAAGAATCACGGCCATTCTGAAAAAGTTGTCATCTGAAAAACCCCGGAAAATGTTCATCATGTTTCGAGCATGTATTTCACACCCAAAAAATCAGTTACTGACAAGATTTGAACCACTGAGCTCTCTGTTCAGGGAGTGGCTGAAAATCCAACAAATGTTTTCTCAAATTCCAAACTTATTGATCATATTCATCCCGAAGTTTGAACCCTGGGGCAATCCATTAGTTTGTTTTCTCTTTAGTTTATAGTCGACTTGCTTTCGGTGTTTTTGACGTGGAAATATTTTGAACAGTTAAATCAATCAACGATGCGTGTCCGCGTCTGTTCTCGACCTAATATATTCCTAATAAACTCCTTTTTTATATTGCACAGTGGGTCTGATCAGTTATCACCTTAAACGATTGTTAACAAAGATTTATGAAGTAAATGTTAATTCAGCCTTCAGCCTCGTTTTCATACTGGACTGTAGGGGAGCGTAAGAAAAACATGCCGGCATTAATCAGGGAGTCTTGTTCTTCCAAAATCCGTGGGTTGAACGAAACGGGAAACTACAGTTTTCTAACCTCGACCTGGCGACGAGGTTACTACTGTACTAGTACGGGTTAGCAGCTGAACGTAATAACCTGTCACGTGATACACATCAACGCCAGTCAACCCTGCCGCCGCACCCTCACTGGTTCAAACCATCTGTAAAATGGAGGCTTATACGTGGTGTAAGGACTTATGGACGCCTAAAACCTTTAACAAGTTCAGTTTTGCGGCAAACGTTTTTTGGATTGGAATCGGAGCAATATTTGTTGCAATATTTTTGGACATGGAAATCAATGAACCGAGGTTTGACTGGAGTTGTGCTTTGAACAATGCTGATGCCGATGGCTCCACACAAAAAGATTGTTTCGTGGAATACGAAGGGCTGTACAACAAACTGTCAGTTCCTTCCTACGGTTTTGTGATTGTTAACTTCCTTATCCCTTTCGTTATTTGTGTGATATATTCAGTATTTGCTAAACCAAGAGTGAGTTCTCTTGTAAACAGAGCGGACGTCGAAAGAGGACAGAATGAAACGGCGACTTTAAGTCGTCAAAGAAAACTCTTCACTGCATACCTCTCTCAACTTATCACTAGGCTCTGTCTCGGGATTACGTTTATTGTCTTTCTACAAACTGAAGTATTTTATCCTCGTAAATTTCCTTCAAACTTCAAGTGTAACGTGATGAGAGGAGTAGTTAATCAAACAGCGAATGCAACTGGGAACGCACAAACTCAAACATATGAATGCAACACTCAGCGAGCACATAAGAAGACCTCGTATATGTATGCCTTACGCGGGGTTGATGGATTTTTTGCATTCATTCTTTTAATTGAGATTTTTATCATTTTATCGCGTGTAAGAAAAGGAAGACAGCTCATGAATGACCAACAGTTTTATAATGATCATCTTAAATCGAATTATGATCCCCAGAAAGATCCGTCTGGTAAACAAAATTCACGACAAGAAATAACTATGAGCCTTATATCACAATCAAAATTGCAAGATTCAAAGGAGGAAGAAAATCACAAAATATTGGAAACAGAACATTTACCTCAGTTGCAAACTTGTTTCAAGTGCATGAAGGAAAGTATCTTAAAGAACACCGATCGACTTAAAGATCTCTCTTCACCCTTCAAACCGAACCCGGGCGAAGGCGATAGACCTAGAGATCTTAAACTGGACCAAATTTATACTAAGTTAATTATTCATCCTGGAAGAGCCTATTATCACTTTTCTGAAAACAGGCGAGAACAGCTACAAGTGTACCCCAAACCAGGGGAAAATTTACCACCGAAAGGACCCGGAGACATTGTTGATGATCAGCACAAGAATGTTCTTATCGTTGGTCGCCCTGGAATTGGCAAAACGTTGTTTTGCACAAAGTTTATGCGCGACTGGGCAAGCGACCGCTTATTCGATGAAGCAAAAAATTCAGAATTACGATTTGACGTTGCTTTCCTTGTTAAATTTAGGAGACTGAACTCTTGTGCAGAGCTTAACCTTCGACAGCTTTTGAATAAATCAGAATTTTCAACACATATGAATGATGTGGTATGGAACTACATTCGTGAAAACCCAAGCAAAGTGCTTTTTATTTTTGATGGAATTGACGAATTCTCTGCAAGGAAAGAGTTACAAGGTGATCACTCTATTTATGAAGACACTGTGAACGGAAGAATGCCGTTACATGCTTTGTACAAGAAAATTGCGTCAGGAAAACTTCTTAATGGCGCCACTGTTTTAACGACTACAAGACCTACTGCTGTATCCTGCATAAGAGATCTTGAATTCAGCAGAGTAGTTGAAATTCTTGGATTTTCATCAGGGAAAGTGAAAAACTATGTGGAGAAGTTCGCAGGCGATGACAAAGATGCAGGAGAAACGATATGGCAACATATCAGCAACAACCTTAACCTCTTTTCGTTGTGCTATATACCTGTAAACTGTTTTATCATTTGTTCCTGCTTGCTATACATGCTGCAGAACTTTTGTTCCAATTCCATTCATGGTTTGGCTAGCCTACCAACTAAACTAACCGACATATACAGCTTCGCCGTAAAGGTTATATTCTTCAGGCACAGTAACAGATACCGCAATAAAACTGATGTTCAGGAAGAAATTTTCAAAAGATTCGATGAGCTGGCTGAAGACGTGAAAGGGGATTTTAAGAAACTGGGAACTATTGCTTTTAAAGGAATTAAAGAAGGAAGATTAACCTTTGAATCCGACGAAGTTACAAACCTAGAGGATTGTGGCCTACTTCATCGCTTGCCTGATTTAAAACCAGAGGCGAAACGACCATTCGAAAAATCCAAAGCTCAATACTGCTTCCAGCATCTGACCATCCAAGAGTTTTTCGCTGCAAAGCATGTGACAGACTACATGGGAGAAGCCGAATTACGAGAATTTGTTTCAAGTCACATCAAGGACGGTGCATGGCAAGTGGTGTTGCAGTTTGTGGCTGGGCTTCTCAGTGACCGAGAAGAACCACTGACCGATATTTTTACTGACCTTTTGCCAGTGCGGACATATGAGGAAAAAGACCCGGAACTGGAGCTGGGCATAGTAACCTGTTGGCCAAGTGAGGAAGACAAACAATTAGCGTTAACGTTATGTCACTGTTTATATGAAATCGATGCAAAAGATTCAGCCGTACGAAACAAAGTAAGGAAGATTGATTTTAACGCTGTAGTGTTTCAACACTGTCAAATAGGACCTGTTGATTGTTCTGCAGTAACCAATTTTCTTAAAATGCATAATGAAATTTTAATGATTAATTTGAGTTTTAACAAGATTGGCTGTCTGGGTTGTAAAGAAATAAGCGAGTTTTTGGTGTCTTTTTTTACGAGTGTCAGTGATGGTAACTGCAAACTTAGCAGATTATACCTAGGTTATAACAATGTAACCGATGAAGGAGTTACGTATTTGGTTGAGGCCTTGAAACATAATAATTGCAAATTAAACACCTTAAATCTCTCGAAAAACAATGTAACCGATAAAGGAGCAGAGTGTTTGGCAGAAGCTTTAAAGCACAGTAATTGCAAACTAAATACCTTAGACCTCTCGGAAAACAATGTAACCGATAAAGGAGCAGAGTGTTTGGCAGAAGCTTTAAAGCACAGTAATTGCAAACTAAATACCTTAGACCTCTCGGAAAACAATGTAACCGACAAAGGAGCAGGGTGTTTGGCAGAAGCTTTAAAGCACAGTAATTGCAAACTAAACCGCTTACACCTCTCGGAAAACAATGTAACCGATAAAGGAGTAGAGTGTTTGGCAAAAGCTTTAAAGCACAGTAATTGCAAACTAAATACCTTAGACCTCTCGGAAAACAATGTAACCGACAAAGGAGCAGGGTGTTTTGCAGAAGCTTTAAAGCACAGTAATTGCAAACTAAACCGCTTACACCTCTCGGAAAACAATGTAACCGATAAAGGAGTAGAGTGTTTGGCAAAAGCTTTAAAGCACAGTAATTGCAAACTAAATACCTTAGACCTCTCGGAAAACAATTTAACCGACAAAGGAGCAGGGTGTTTGGCAGAAGCTTTAAAGCACAGTAATTGCAAACTAAACCGCTTACACCTCTTCAAAAGCAATGTAACCGATAATGGAGCAGAGTGTTTGGCAAAAGCTTTAAAGCACAGTAATTGCAAACTAAATACCTTAGACCTCTCGTACAACAATGCAACCGACAAAGGAGCAGGGTGTTTGGCAGAAGCTTTAAAGCACAGTAATTGCAAACTAAACAGCTTAAGCCTCTGGAAAATCAATGTAACCGATAAAGGAGCAGAGTGTTTGGCAGAAGCTTTAAAGCACAGTAATTGCAAACTAAATACTTTAGACCTCTCGTTCAACAATGTAACCGACAAGCAACCTCTGGCAAAACAATTTAACCGAAAAAGGAGTAGAGTGTTTGGCAGAAGCTTTAAAGCACAGTAATTGCAAATTAAACGGCTTAAACCTCATGCAAAACAATGTAACCTATAAAGGAGTAGAGTGTTTGGCAGAAGCTTTAAAGCACAGTAATTGCAAACTAAACAGGTTATTTAATACCTCTTCGAATACAATGTAACTGATGAAGGAAGAGAGTGTGTGGCAGAAGCTTTGAAGCACAGTAATTGCAAACTAAAAAGCTAAATCCTCATGCAAAACAATGTAACCTATAAAGGAGCAGAGTGTTTGGCAGAAGCTTTAAAGCACAGTAATTGCAAACTAAATACTTTAGACCTCTCGTTCAACAGTGTAACCGATAAAGGAGCAGAGTGTTTGGCAGAAGCTTTAAAGCACAGTAATTGCAAACTAAACAGGTTGTACCTCTTCGAATACAATGTAACTGATAAAAGGAGTAGAGTGTTTGGCAGAAGCTTTGAAGCACAGTAATTGCAAACTAAAACGCTAAATCCTCATGCAAAACAATGTAACCTCTAAAGGAGCAGAGTGTTTGGGAGGAGCTTTAAAGCAAAGCAATTGCAAACTAAAGAGCTTAGTCCTTCACTTTAACAAATTAACCGATGGAGGAATTAAGTATTTGGCTTAAGCTTTAAAGCACAGTAATTGCGGCGGTAAGTGGGGAGCGAGTTAAGTTGTAAAACCGGAAAAACGGGACGGGGGCGAGAGCGAGAGAACTTGCTTTGAAGCGTTGAACTAGACACCTTTATCCTCGCCGATTAACGAATTAACCGATGAAGAACTAAAGTATTTGGCTGAAGCTTTAAAGCACAGTAACATGCAAACGAAACAACTTGTACCTCGTTGGTAACCTCTATATCAGCGATCATACAAGGGAAATCGTGTATGGTCGAAGTTCGGGCGCTCAGTAATTGCAAAGTACGTTTACAAAAGTGAAATGGTCTTAAAACGGTGAGGAGATATATGTGGGGAACCAATTCATTCAAGCCCCCTTTGAATTTGAAACTTAATTATTGAACAGGGTTGTGTTCGCAAATAGCAAAAAGCTCTCATCTTGGCAAACAGCTTTACTGAGTTTCCTTTAAAACAGTGAGACAGATGTAGACTAGAGCAATAATAGAGGAATCAGCCAGGAAGAGTAACTGTAATTGTTTAACTTTCTGATGATTGCTGATTGAGAATCTACCGTTAGTTCTAATCAGGAACTAAGTTTGTACAGTTTCAGTTTTGCAATGTGGTATTTAAGAATAAAAGTATTTCAGTGTTTATGTTGTGGTTCAGTTTTATCCTTGGCTTACCTTTGTTTTGGGGTATGGTAATCTAATGTATGATAATGAGTTTTAAACAAACGGAAATAAACTTTAATCCAACGATAAAATTGAATCGCAACATTAATGTTTCACTTACTTCTGGCATGTCTTTGAAAAAAAGGTTTGAGGCTTTCCTTAAGTTTACTGTAAAAATATAGCTGTACGTATTCAACGAATGGTATGAATGTTACATTAAATACAATTAGATTTCATGGATTTGTGTCATACTGGACCAAGAGTGAGAAAATTAAGTCACTTCTGGGGAGGAGGTGGGAGGGAAGAGTTGGCTATAATCTTCATACTCCGTCATGTTCTGGTTGACATTCTTGCGTTCATCGCCTTTTAAAATCAGATACATTTTTGTCTTCCGGTAATCCATGCTTATGATCTAGAAGTTCTCTGCTTTCTGCTGGCAGAATCCGTGGTCTTAACCTGCAGGCTATTCTGGGGTCCTGTATTCCACAGTATCCCAGAACTGTCAATCACACTTGAACAAACAGTCACGTGATAAATAGACTGTGCTAAACTGGAGAAAGAACTGGGCACTTAAGTAATCATGTTGGGGAACCACTGTTTGATCTAAACTGGTCACGTGATCTCGGGAAGTCTGAAATAAAGAAAATACATGTACACCGAAATTTAATAAATCTTTCACACTACTTGTATTGCAAGCACAAGAGAGGGCAATAAAATGGAAAAAACACGCCAACTAAGGGGCGGGTGCCTTCTTTTTTTCACGATTTTCACAGAAACTGTCGGAATTCTTGCGCGCTCAATGAGTCTTAAGGGCCAGAAGCTACTGTGAGTCTAGAAACAAATACGAACCTTTCCATCCACGGGTTGTTGCTTTCTGTCCTCAGCGCGCCATGTTACTGACAAGCAAACAGACTGCACATGGCGGTAAAGTCTTATAAACAAGAAAAACAACACAAACTAAAATTGATTGGTGAAGCCGGTAACTCCATAATCCAACTTTGAGTCCTTGTATCGTAAACAAGGGATTGCTTATGGCTTTGAGCTAAGACTTACAGCCTCAGACATCAAGGCGGATGATTTTGCACGATTTGTCGTTAGCCAGTTCAGGACAAACGTTCAACTATGAAGTGGAATGACTACTAAAGAAAGGTTGATATGAGCAAAATCGATTCGTAAAAAAATAGTCCGTGACATCGGAGTTGGTTTTCAAGTTCGCCAAATGTAAAACCATAGCGGGAAAATTAAGTTATATCGGGTCATACTATAATACTGTCGTAAAAGATTGTGTTTACACTTCTAACAATACTCTGACCTAGCTTTTGACTGCGCTCTATGGCTCCTTCCACCTCAAGAACAAATTGTGTATCCAATGTAACCGAAATTGGTTCTGAAGGCGACCGAGGCGAAGGTGACAACGCCAGCTGCATGATGAAAGAGACCAAGATTAGCAAAAGGAATTGGTTCAAAATGTGAGAATGACATAAAAGAATTACAGAAAGAAAACGGATTCAAGTTTTGATGTTACAAGAAACGAATTTCTTCCTAATTTTCATTCATTTCAAACAGTGCGTCCTGTATCTTTATGATTATAAAACAAGATTATTTTATACGGACAGCGAGACAAAATTAGCATCTTTTCCATTCCCGCGTTTTTTACTACCGGAAGTTCACTTGATTTTCCCGCGTTTTCTATGGGTTTGTACCCGACTCCCGCCATATGAAATGGCTCTGTACGAGTGCAACAGAAAAACTGCCCTTAGTACCTTTCAGTTTCCTTTTAGTATCACGCGAAGAGAATTTCTTTTCTGAACTGCTTAAAAATGATGCCGTGAACCAAAGACAACGACATCAAGTAATATAGGGTTGGTTCAGAAAAGCCAAATGAAGCGCGCAGCGAGTGATACAACGGTTATAAACCAGTGGCGGTTCCATGGGAGGGGCCCGGGGGGGCCGGCCTCCCCCCTTATCTTTAGACCAAACTGAGGCCCGAAAGGCCGAAAAGAAATGTTTTGGAGACCCCTCCCCCCTCTCCTTATCTGAAGGTCTGGATCCCCCACTGTAAACGCGGAAACTTGGAAACAAAATTCCACGGCTTTTATAAAGTAGCCTGCGTAGCAAGCGTTTCCGCGCAGTTTCGGAACAAAGGTTTTCGGTCTTTCATCTTTGTTCCGCTTGCTGGCCTTTTAGGGGAATGCTGCGCATGCTATTTATAAAGCTAAGAACACCTAACAGACACCCTCGTAAGCGGACAGGTCTACTTACGGCCACTGAAACAAAATCCCGTTTTTCTCCACTCCCATACAAACTCTGTATTTTTACATTCCCGTAAGAGGCCAGCCCTAGTTATGTCCGCTTACGAGAACTTCCACTGTACCAGTAATCTAGGAGCCAATTTAGTAGGTCCATGGAGAATGTTTGACTACAAACCTTGATAAACGTGGCTTGTTGACTGGAGAAGAGTATTTCGGGAAAATAAACGGCACCTTCAGGAAAGTCATGGAAGCCCGAATGAGACATTCAGTTTGCTGGAAAACGATAAAATGCATAACCATAAGTCAATATCAAATTTCCAAAGTTAACTAGTCATAAAATACTCTGCCGCGCTATTTATTTTCGAAAGTCTTTTTGGTGTAACGCCTTTGGCAATCGTAGCTTGAGTTTTCTGTTGGTTCGCTACCTTGCTCTGCGAAGCCTTTTTCTGGTTACTCCGGTTTTCCCATCTCCTCAAAAACCAACACTTTCCAATTCGACCAGGAATGGTAAACGAAGAACCCCTACGTGGGTATGTTACCTTTAAATCGTTATACATTAAAAGCACTCCGCGAAACGTAAGCTTTTCAATCTTTTTTATTGTCACCACCATCCTACCACCACCACCAACGTAGGACCAGAGTTTCTTTGGAAACTAAGCGCTTTACATTCTATTTTCAATTTTGTTACATAGAGGCTAAAAGAAGCGATCTTATGAGGATGATGTAATAGTACACACCTTGAGTGTTGTAATCCCTTTCTGGTATTTAGCGCCAGCATCAGATATTTGCTTGGACAGCGCGAGCTGAGTATCACATTCATCATTCAACAAATTCTCCGCTTCACAGAAGAACTTCAAAGCATTAAGCCAGAACTAAAAATGTTCAGAAGCAACCTGTAGATCAAATCTCGTTTGTCAAACTGCTACATTTCCGCTACGAAATATAAAAACCCAAGAGAGGGTATCCGGTCACCTTACCACCACCAAGTCGCCAAGAAGAAATATAGATCTTAATACTTATCGAAAGGACAAGTCTCTAAAAAGAATTCTTTCACTTTAAATTTACAATGAAATTTAAGGAGGTGAGATTCAAGAGACAATATTAACCAACTTTCACAGGAAAGGCTGTTGGATTTTAAACAAGTCGCAATTATTCACAAAAAATAAAACTAAAGATGAGAAGTTCGACGCAAGGTGTCAATTAAAATCGATAAACACTTAAAAAACTTATATACCAAAAGTGATAAGAATTTGTGAAAAAGAAAGAAAGAAATGATTGCTATAGCTGGACAAGAAATTAAAGAATTAGATGAGTTCATTTACTTAGGAGGTAGCATGACACGGACCTGAAAATCAGACTCTCAAAAGCTAGGGGTGTATTTACCAGATTAAAGAAGATCTGTTGCTCCATTAACAAACCTGAGGCTAAGTAAAACACACAGTCGTATAGTGGAACCTCTATTCTATCGGGACCAAGGCAAGTGTCTTCTGAAGGTAGAGGTATCCCCTCAAATGGAGGTTGGGATGGGGTTTGTTAATAATTAACCATAAAATAAAATATTTTTCTTTCATTCTACCTCGGAATATGCGGCAGTCATTGCTTCATGCAGCTAGATAATGTTTATTGTCCAAAGGTGGGCATTGGTGATGACCATTCCCTGTCACAGGTGGAAGTGACTGTGCTTACCACGTCCACTTTCTTGTATATATATTTTTTTTTCTATTTTTTTTGGTTAACGCCGAGGAGCCCATATAAACCTGGTTAACGTACATCTAGAGTTTGAATTAATTTTTTTCAAGGGTAAATGAGCTATTTAACAGAATTGAAATTGAAATTGAAATTGTAATTGTAAGTATACGACAGGGCGGTGCCTTGCATGGGTTTGGGGTCCCGTTTTCACTTGCCCCTTTGGGGATCAGAAATTGCTTTTAAATTATTCTTGTAATAATAATTAATTATTTTTATTTTATTTCTTTAATCATATGTATTCTTGTTAATTCTTTCATGATTGCAGTTTTGCCCCGATAAAGTGTCCAAAAAGGTGCAGGGCATCGATTTGAGTGAGACAGTTCTGTTCATGTTTTGAAAACTGACGCACTTTGACTAGTAAGTACTGAAAATAGTACTTACGGTGAGGGTAAAAGGAGGAATGAGTTTGCGGAATGGCATGTGGCATAGCTTGCGGAAAGCATGCGGAAATCTCTGCGGCCCCCTTTTTGGCGCTAATTTGAAGGAGAAACCTCTTTGCCGGTCCTTTTATTATAAGGAACGCTCGTTGAGCTTGAAGTTGGGCTTGGCTAGCTACAATTCTAGCGGATTTTTACTACGGTGAAACATCGCGAATCAGATCATATTTGAGACTTAATTAACACCCCGATCGGAGTCAAACATTAATCTGTAATCCAGAAATCGAGTGAAGGGAACTGCTCTCTTTCTCCGCTTCTTTCGGCAGTTTCTGCGTCTTTGCGCAAAAAAATGAAAAAATTAAAAAATTTTATCAGTAAGAAGGAAAAAAAAATAAGACAGAAAGAAAGAAAGCCGAAGAAAACACACACTCTCAATTGACAGGATAGGTACTCGCACTTCTACGTCAGCTGTTAGACCTGTTAGTTTCGAGTGCTAAAATAAAAGATACATTTGATCTCTGAATTATGTCACGATCACAAAACCCACCGTCTGAGAAAGAAACACTTCTCGCGCGGTTCCTAATACAAATAAAGGTAAAGAAAAAAACCTGTAAAGTTAACCGTGCAAACGTATTTGGAAGAAAAAATTAAAGCAGAAGGGAGTTCCAAAACAGTTTTTCTTCAATGGCCGACTTTCGTGATGTAGTACCACTAGTATCTGTGCTGTCATACCGCTGAACTAATAAAGGCAAGTAGAATGTTTGTGGCTGTCTGCAACATTAAAAAAGCGGCTGCTTTTGCAAATTGATTGGCGCCAAAAAGGGAGCCCTTTCCAATTTAATTTATTTCTTTGAGTCATTCTGCACATAATTATTATACTACGCATGATTATGTCATTCCGCAAGCCATGCCACATGCTATTCCGCAATCTCGTTCCGTCTTTTAACCTTACCTTAAAACTTAACAACGATTTTTGCGGTCAGACAACGGACGAGGTTGGTCAGACAAATTTTAGGGGCTAAAGTGTCTCCTGAATTGACGTTAAATCCGGGTTTCGGGACCGGAAAAACTGTCCATTTCCCTCAATAGAGATGTCTCTTCAACAGAGGTAACAAATACAAAGTTTTTGTGAGCGTTTTTCTGAGACAAAATTCTTGATTTGCTTTAGGGGCGTTAAACATATGGAAAATGATCGAGGAGGATGACAGAGTAGTGGACGTGTTTTATAACCTTCGAGAGTTAAGACACGAAATCTCTCTGGGATTTGCAAACAATATGGCACCTATAAAATTGTTTTGTCAACTTGAAAATAAAAAAATAAAATAAAACTATGCATACATAATTCGCACATGAACAATAAAAACGCCTAAAGTTACCTTTTGATAAACTTAAACTTCGTGGATCGTTCAAAGCAGTTTTAGCTCTAATCAAAGAAGAAGCCCCTAGTTTCATAGGTGCAGTTAGGTATGTGAGGTAGAGAAGGGGGGCCATCAAGTAGTTTAAGGCCTTGGACTAAGGGGTTTACCTGTAGAAAATGAAATATTGGCTATAACTTTGGCATAGATGATGGCACTGGATCAAAATTTGGCACAAAAAAGAACTCATCGTCCTTAACATTTTAAAGTATAACTTTTATGTTTATAAGTCACGTGATATGTCACGTGACCATTTTGCTAAAATTGTAAATTATTATCCAATTGGTGGCCGGTTTAATGAAAGAAGTCGAGTAATAACATTTTTCTGATTCATGTTAAATATTTATAACACTTAACGTTTTGAATGACCGTCCACTGCCCTTCAATAAAAAATTATGAGGGCAAACATCATGATTTTAAATGCCCAAAATTAATCATGAATTATTTAAAACTTATTTGAAACAGTTTCGAGTGGATGCGAATATTTGTTAAACTGGGGGTCAAAACTGGTGCATGGCTATGGGCATAAGTGCGTCGTTTATTAGTTAAAGAGGTTATTAAGTTGAATAATCATTTTGAATAATAAATAACGCCGTATGTCTAATCAATACAAATATAAAAGAATCACGGCCATTGTGAAAAATTGTTATCTGAAAAACCCTGAAAATGTTCATCATGTTTCGAGCATGTATTTCACACCAAAAAAATCAGTAACTGACAAGATTTGAACCACTGAGCTCTCTGTTCAGGGATTGGCTGAAAATCCAACAAATGTTTTCTCAAATTCCAAACTTATTGATCTTATTCATTCCGAAGTTTGAACCCTGGGGCAATCCATTAGTTTGTTTTTTCTTTAGTTTATAGTCGACTTGATTTCGGTATTTTTGACATGGAAATATTTTGTACAGTTAAATCAATCAACGATGCGTGTCAGCGTCTGTTCTCGACCTAATATACTCCTAATAAACTCCTTTTTTATATTGCACAGTGGGTCTGATCAGTTATCATCTTAAACGATTGTTAACAAAGATTTATAAAGTAAATGTAATTCAGCCTTCAGCCTCGTTTTCATACTGGACTGAAGGGGAGCGTAAGAAAAACATGCCGGCATTAATCAGGGAGTCTTGTTCTACCAAAATCCGGCATCAAACCTTTTCTGACCCGTGGGTTGAACGAAACGCGAAACTACAATTTTCCGACCTCGACCTGGGGACAAGGTTTATACTAGACTAATCTGGGTTAGCAGCTGAACGTATTAACTTGTCACGTGATACGCTTCAAACTATCTGTAAAATGGAGGCTTTTTCGTGGTGTAAGGACTTATTGACTCCTAAAACCTTTAACACGTTCAGTTTTGTGGCAAATGCTTGTTGGATTATAATCGCAATAGTGTTTCTTGCAATATTTTCGGACACGGAAAACAATGAACCGAGGTTTGACTGGAGTTGTGCTTTGAACAGTGCTGATACCGATGACTCCATAGAAGGAAATTGTTTCGTGAAATACGAAGGGTTGTACAACAAACTATCTGTTCCTCCTTACCTTTTCGTCTTTGGGAACTTCTTTCTTCCTCTCATTGTTTGTGCGATGTATGCAGCATTGGCTAAGCCAAGAGTGACAAAAGTGAGTTCTCTTGTAAACAGAGGAAAAAGAAAAAAAGTGAGCTCTCTTGTAAACAGAGCGGACGTCGAAAGAGGCCAGGATGAAACGGTGAACTCAAGTCGTCAAAGAAAACTCTTCACAGCATACCTTTTTCAACTTATCACCAGGCTCTGTCTCGGGATTGTGTTTATCGTCTTTCTGCAAACTGAACTATTTTATCCTCGTAAATTTCTTTCAGACTTCAAGTGTAATGTCACGAGAGGAGCAGTTAATCAAACAGCGAATGCAACTGGGAACGCACAAACTCAAACATATGAATGTAACACTAAGCGAGCACATAAGAAGACCTCGTATATGTATGCCTTACGCGGAGTTGATGGATTTTTTGCATTTATTCTTTTACTTGAGATTTTTATCATTTTGTCGCGTGTAAGAAAAGGAAAACAGTTCATGAATGACCAACAGTTTTATACTGATCATCTTAAATCGAATTATGATCCCCAGAAAGAGTCTTCTGGTGAACAAAATTCACGACAAGAAATAACTCTGAGGCTTATATCACAACCAGAATTGCAAGTTTCACAGGAGGAAGAAAATCTCGAAATATTGGAAACAGAACATTTACCTCTGTTGCAAACTTGTTTCAAGTGCATGAAGGAAAGTGTCTTAAAGAACACCGAGCGAGTTAGAGACCTCTCTTCACCCTTCAAACCGAACCCGGGCGAAGGCGATAAACCTAAAGATCTTAAACTCGACGAAATTTATACTAATTTGATCATTCATCCTGAAAGAGCCTATTATCACTTTCCTGAAAACAGGCGAGAACAGCTAAAAGTGTACCCCAAACCAGAGAAAAATTTACCACCAAAAAGACCTGGAGACATTGTTGATGATCAGCACAAGAATATTCTTATCGTTGGTCACCCTGGAATTGGCAAAACGTCGTTTTGCACAAAGTTTATGCGCGACTGGGCAAGCGACCGCTTATTCGATGAAGCGCAAAATTTAGAATTACGATTTGACGTTGCTTTCCTCGTTAAATTTAAGAGACTGAACTCTACTGCAGAGCTTAACCTTCGAGAGCTTTTGGATAAATCAGAATTTTCAACACATGTGAATGATGTGGTATGGAACTACATTTGCCAAAACCCAAGCAGAGTACTTTTTATTTTCGATGGAATTGACGAATACTCTGCAAGGAAAAAGATACAAGAAGATGACTCTATTTATAAAGACACGGTAGAAGAAAAAATGCCTTTACATGCATTGTACACAAAGATTATGTCGGGAAAACTTCTTGAAGGAGCCACTGTTTTAACGACTACAAGACCTACTGCTGTATCGTGCGTAAGAGATCTTGAATTCAGCCGAGTAGTTGAAATTCTTGGATTTTCATCAGGGCAAGTGAAAAACTATGTGGAGAAGTACACAGGCGATGACAAAGGTGCAGGAGAAACGATATGGCAACATATCAGCAACAACCTTAACCTCTTTTCATTGTGCTATATACCTGTTAACTGTTTCATCATTTGTTCGTGCCTTCTATACATGTGGCAGAACTTTCGTTCCAATTCCATTCATGGTTTAAATAGCCTACCAACTAAACTAACCGACATATACAGCTTCGTTGTAAAGCTTATGTTCTTCAGGCACAGTAACAGATACCGCAATAAAACTGTTGGTCAGGATGAAATTTTCAAAAAATTCGATGAGCTGGATGAAGACGTGAAAGGGGATTTTAAGAAACTGGCAACAATTGCTTTTAAAGGAATTGATGAAGGAAGATTAACCTTTGAATCTAACGAAGTTACAAACCTAGAGGATTGTGGCCTACTTCATCGCTTACCTGATTTAAAACCAGAGGCGAAGCGACCAAAACCCAAAGCTCAATACTGCTTCCAGCATCTGACCATCCAAGAGTTTCTCGCCGCAAAGCATGTGACAGACATGGAAGAAGCCGAATTGCGAGAATTTGTTTCAAGTCACATCACGAACGGTGCATGGCAAGTGGTGTTGCAGTTTGTGGCTGGGCTTCTCAGTGAACGAGATGAACCACTGACCGATATTTTTACTAATCTTCTGCCAGTGTCGACGTATGAAGAAACAGGAGATGAACTGCAGTCAGGCACATTAACCTGTTGGCCAAGAAAGAAAGACAAACATTTAGCGTTAACGTTATGTCACTGTTTATATGAGATCGATGCAGATGATTCAGCCGTGCAAAACAGAGTAAGAGAGATCAATTTTAACGCTGTAGTGTTTGATTACTGTCGTCTAGGACCTGTTGATTGTACTGCAATAGCCAATTTTCTTAAAATAGATAACGAAATTTTAATGATTAATTTGAGAGGTAACCAGATTGGCTGTCTGGGTTGTAAAGAAATAAGCGAGTTTTTAGTGTTTTCTTCAAGTGTCAGTGATAGTAATTGCAAACTTCGCAGCTTAAACCTCAGTAAGAACATTGTAACCGATGAAGGAGTAGAGTATTTGGCCAAAGCGTTAAAGAACAGTAATTGCAAACTAAACCTCTTAAACCTCTCGAAAAACAATGTAACCGATGAAGGAGCAAAGTGTTTGGCTGAAGCTTTAAAGCACAGTGATTGCAAACTAAACAGCTTAAACCTCTCGGAAAACAATGTAACCTATGAAGGAGCAAAGTGTTTGGCTGAAGCTTTAAAGCACAGTGATTGCAAACTAAACAGCTTAAACCTCTCGCAAAACAATGTAACCTATGAAGGAGCAGAGTGTTTGGCTGAAGCTTTAAAGCACATTAATTGCAAACTGAACAGCTTAAGCCTCGCGTTTAACAATGTAGCCAATGAAGGAGCAAAGTGTTTGGCTGAGGCTTTAAAGCACAGTAATTGTAAACTAAACAGGTTAGGCCTCCACGGTAACCAATTAACTGGTGAAGGAGAAAAGTATTTAGCTGAAGCTTTAAAGCACAGTAATTGCAAACTAAACAACTTAAACCTCTCGGTAAACAATGCAACCGATGAAGGAGCAAAGTGTTTGGCTGAAGCTTTAAAGCACAGTAATTGTAAACTAAACAGGTTAGCCCTCGCCGGTAACGAATTAACCGGTGAAGGAGAAAAGTATTTAGCTGAAGCTTTAAAGCACAGTAATTGCAAACTAAAGAGCTTAGAACTCTCGGAAAACAATGTAACCGATGAAGGAGCAAAGTGTTTGGCTGAAGCTTTAAAGCACAGTAATTGCAAACTAAAGCGCTTAGACCTCTCGGGAAACAATGTAACCGATGAAGGAGCAAAGTGTTTGGCTGAAGCTTTAAAGCACAGTAATTGCAAACTAATGCGCTTAGACCTCTGGGTAAACAATGTAACCAATGAAGGAGCAAAGTGTTTGGCTGAGGCTTTAAAGCACAGTAATTGCAAACTAAACAGCTTAAACCTTTCGCGAAACAATGTAACCGATGAAGGACTAAAGTATTTGGCTAAAGCGTCATTGCACACTAAACAACTTAAACCTGGCCTGTAACAAATTAACCGATGAAGGAGCGAAGTATTTGACTGTAGCCTGAATTTTCGTTATTACTCCCTCAAAGAGGAGAAAACGACTCGAAGCAATCGGATGAATTTCAGGCTATTTGACTGAAGCTGCAACACAGACTCAACCTCGATCCCAGGGTTCTCTCCTACCCGCCTGCTCTCTCTCTCTCGCTCATATGTCACCTCATATCACCTTAAGTCGCCTAAAATCGCCTTAAGTCTTACAACATTTTGAGCAAATTTTCCTAAAGTCGCCTAAAATTACGGCGACTTTAGGTCCCAGAGTAGGCTTTGGCTGAAGCTTTGAAGCACAGTAATTGCAAAATTGAAACAGCTTAAACCTAGCCGATTAACGAATTAACGATGCAGGACGAAAGTATTTGGCTGAAGCTTTAAAGCACGGCAACTGCAAACTAAACAACTTCGACCTTGAAATTCGGGCGCTCAGTATACAAAAGTGAAAAGGTCTTAGCTTATAATGGTGAGGAGATATATGTGAGGAACCAATTCTTTTAAGCCCTCTTTGACTTTAAAACTTAATTAGTGAACTGAGTTGTGTTCACAAAGAGCAAAAAGCTCGCATTCAAACAGCTTTACCGAGTTTTCCTTTAAAACAGCGAGACAGAAGTAGACTAGTGCAATAATAGCAGAATCAGCCAGAAGGAGTAACTGTAGTAACGTTTTTCCTCTTTTCTGATAATTGCTGATTGAGAATACTACTGTTAGTTTCAGTGGCGGTTCCAGACCTTCAGATAAGGGGGGACCCGGTCTCAAATTGATTGAAAAATAGAGAGGGGGGCGAGCCCCTCCCCTGGATCCGTCACTGAGTCTTAATCAGCAACTAATTTTGTACAGTTTCAGTTTTGCAACTTAGTGTTTTAGTATTGAAGAATTTAAGTGTTTATGTTTTGGTTCAATTTTATCCTTGGCTTACCTTTGTTTTGGGGTATGGTAATGTATGATAATCAGTTTAAAACAAAGGGAAATAAAATTTAAACCAACGATAAAATTGAACGGCAACATTAATGTTTCACTTACTTCTGGCATGTCTTTGAAAAAAAGGTTTGAGGCTTTCCTTGAGGTTAACTGTGAAAATATAGCTGTACATATTCAACGAATAGTATCAATGTTACATTAAATACAATTCGATTTCATGGATTTGTGTCATACTGGACCAAGAGTGAGGCAATTAAGTCACTTCTGGGGAGGAGGTGGGAGGGAAGAGTTGGCTATAATCTTCATACTCCGTCATGTTCTGGTTGACATTCTTGCGTTCATCGCCTTTTAAAATCAGATGCATTTTTGTCTTCCGGTAATCCATGGTTATGATCTAGACGTTCTCTGCTTTCTGCTGGCAGAATCCGTGGTCTTAACCTGCAGGCTATTCTGGGGTCCTGTATTCCACAGTATCCCAGAACTGTCAATCACACTTGAAGACACAGTCACGTGATAAATAGACTGTGTGCTAAACTGGAGAAGGAACTGGGCACTAAAGTAATCATGGTGGGGAACTACTGTTTGGTCTAAACTGGTCACGTGATCTCGGGAAGTCTAAAATAAAGAAAATACATGTACACCGAAATTTAATAAATCTTTCACACTACTTGTGTTGCAAGAACAAGAGAGAGCAATAAAATGGAAAAAAAAACACGCCAACTAAGGGGCGGGTGCTTTCTTTTTTTCACGATTTTCACAGAAACTGTCGGAATTCTTGCGCGCTCAATGAGTCTGAAGGGCCAAAAGCTACTGTGAGTCTAGAAACAAATACGATCCTTTCCATCCATGGGTTGCTGCTTTCTGTCCTTAGCGCGCCATGTTACTGACAGGTAAACAGAATACACACGGCGGTAGAGCCTTATAAACAAGAAAAACAACACAAACTAAAATTGATTGGTGAAGCCGGTAACTCCATAATCCAACTTTGAGTCCTTGTATTGTAAACAAGGGATTGGCTATGGCTTTGAGCTAAGACTTACAGCCTCAGACATCAAGGCGGATGATTTTGCACGATTTGTCGTTAGCCAGTTCAGGACAAACGTGCAACTATGAAGTGGAATGACTACTAAAAAAAGGTTTATATGAGAAAAAATCGATTCGAAAAAAAATAGTTCGTGACATCGGAGTTGGTTTTCAAGTTCGCCAAATGTAAAACCATAGGGGGACAATTTAGTTATATCGGGTCATACTACAATACTGTCGTAAAAGATTGTGTTTACACTTCTAACAATACTCTGACCTAGCTTTTGACTGCGCTCTATGACTCCTTCCACCTTAAGAACAAATTGTGTATCCAATGTGACCGAAATTAGCCTGTTCCAGGCGTTCAGATAGTGGGGAGCGGTGCGAAGAAAAAAGGAGCGTGCACCTCTCTCCCCAGTCCCCCTCTACTTTTCATCGCTATCTTCACTTCGCACCGCTCTGTACTATCTGAACGCTTGGAACAGGCTAGACCGAAATTGGTTCTGAAGGAGACCGAGGCGAAGGTGACAACGCCAGCTGCATGATGAAAGAGACCAAGATTAGCAAAAGGAATTGGTTCAAATTGTGAGAATGATTGGCATAAAAGTCAAAGAGTTACAGAAAGAAAACGGATTCAAGTTTTGTTGTTACAAGAAAGGAATTTCTACCTAATTTTCATTCATTTCAAACAGTGCGTCCTGTATCTTTATGATTATAAAAGATTATTTTATACGGACAGTGAGACAAAATTAGCACCTTTTCCATTCCCGCGTTTTTTACTACAGGAGGTTCACTGGATTTTCTTGTGTTTTCCATGGGTTTGTACTCGACTCCCGCCATTTCAAATGGCTCTGTGCGAGTGCAACAGAAAAACTGCCACTAGTACCTTTCAGTTTCCTTTTAGTATCACGCGAAGAGAATGTCTTCTGAACTGTTTAAAAATGATGCCGTGAACCGAAGACAACGACATCAAGTAATATATGGTTGGTTCAGAAAAGCCAAATGAAGCGCGCAGCGAGTGATACAACGGTTATAAACCAGTGGCGGTTCCATGGGGGGGGCCCGGGGGGGGGGGGGCGGCCTCCCCCCTTATCTTTAGACCAAACTGAGGTCCGAAAAGCCGAAAAGAAATTTTTGGGAGACCCATCCCCCTCTCCTTATCTGAAGGTCTGGATCTACCACTGTAAACGCGGAAACTGGGAAACAAAATTTCACGACCTTTATAAAGTAGCCTGCGTAGCAAGCGTTTCCGTGCAGTTTCGGAACAAAGGTTTTTGGTCTTTCATCTTTGCTCCGCTTGCTGGCCTTTTAGGGGAATGCTACGCATGCTATTTATAAAGCTAAGAACACCTAACAGACACCCTCGTAAGCGGACAGGTCTACTTACGGCCACTGAAACAAAATCCCGTTTTTCTCCACTCCCATACAAACTCTGTATTTTTACATTCCCGTAAGAGGCCAGCCCCGGTTATGTCCGCTTACGAGAACTTCCACTGTACCAGTAATCTAGGAGCCAATTTAGTAGGTCCATGAAGAATGTTTGACTACAAACCTTGATAAACGTGGCTTGCTGACTGGAGAAGAGTATTTCGGGAAAATAAACGGCACCTTCAGGAAAGTCATGGAAGCCCGAATGAGACATTCAGTTTGCTGGAAAACGATAAAATGTATAACCATAAATCAATATAAAATTTCCCAAGTTAACTAGTCAAAAAATACTCTGCCGCGCTATTTATTTTCGAAAGTCTTTTTGGTGTAACGCCTTTGGCAATCGTAGCTTGAGTTTTCTGTTGGTTCGCTACCTTGCTCTGCGAAGCCTTTTTCTGGTTACTCCAGTTTTCTCATCTCCTCAAAAACCAACACTTTCCAATTCGACCAGGAATGGTTACGAAGAACCCGTACGTGGGTATGCTGCCTTTATTTTATTTTACATTAAAAGCACTCCTCCAAACGTAAGCTTTTCAATCTTTTTTATTGTCACCACCAGCCCACCACCACCACCAACGTAGGACCAGAGTTTCTTTGGAAACTAAGCCCTTTACATTCTGTTTTCAATTTTTGAGGATGATATAATAGTACAGACCTGGAGTGTTGTGATCCCTTTCTGGTATTTAGCGGCAGCATCAGATATTTGCAGCGCGAGCTGAGTATCACATTCATCATTCAACAAATTCTCCGCTTCACAGAAGAACTTCAAAGCATTAAGCCAGAACTAAAAATGTTCAGAAGCAACCTGTAGATCAAATCTCGTTTGTCAAAGTGCTACATTTCCGCTACGAAATATACAACCCAAGAGAGGGTATCCGGTAACCTCACCACCACCAAGTGGCCACGAAGAAATATAGATCTTAATACTTATCGAAAGAACAAGTCTCTAAAAAGAATTATTTCACTTTAAATTTACAATGAAATTTAAGGAGGTGAGATTCAAGAGACAATATTAACCAACTTTCACAGGAAAGGCTGTTGGATTTTAAACAAGTCGCAATTATTCACAAAAAATAAAACTAAAGATGAGAAGTTCGAAGCAAGGTGTCAATTAAAGTCGATAAACTTATATTTTATAAAACTTAATAAACTTATATACCAAAAGTGACAAGAATTTATGAAAAAGAAAGAAAGAAATGATTGCTATAGCTGAACAAGAAATTAAAGAATTAGATGAGTTCATTTACTTTGGAGGTAGCATGACACGGACCTGAAAATAAGACTCTCAAAAGCTAGGGGTGCATTTGTCAGATTAAAGAAGATCTGTTGCTCCATTAACAAACCCTAGGCCAAGTAAAACACTAAGTCGTATAGTGGAACCTCTAGTCTATCGGGACCAAGGCAAGTGTCCCCTGAATGTAGGGGTATCCCCTCAAATGAAGGTTGGAATGGGGTTTGTTAATAATTAACCATAAAATAAAACATTTTTCTTTCATTCTACCTCGGTATCTGCGGCAGTCATTGCTTCATGCAGCTACATAATGTTTAAAAAATTAAATTATCTCTGTGATGTCCAAGGGTGAGCATTGGTGATGACCTTTCCCTGTCACAGGTGGAAGTGACTGCGCTTACCACATCCACTTTCCTGTATTTTTTTTTTTCATTTTTTTTTGTTAACGCCGAGGAGCCCATATAAACCTGCTTAACGTACATCTAGCGCTTGAATTCATTTTTTTTTAAGGGTAAATGAGCTATTTAACAGAATTGAAATTGAAATTGTAATTGTAAGTATACGACAGGGTGGTTCCTTGCATGGGTCTGGGGTCCCGTTTTCACTTGCCCCTTTGGGGATCAGAAATTGTTTTTAAATTATTCTTGTAATTATAATTAATTATTTTTATTTTATTTCTTTAATCATATGTATTCTTGTTAATTCTTTCGTGATTGCAGTTTTGCCCCGATAAAGTGTCAAAAAAGGTGCAGGGCATCGATTTGAGTGAGACAGTTCTGTTCATGTTTTGAAAACTGACGCCCTTTGACTAGTAAGTACTGAAAATAGTACTTACGGTGAGGGTAAAAGGAGGAATGAGTTTGCGGAATGGCATGTGGCATGGCTTGCGGAAAGCATGCGCAAATCTCTACCGCCCCTTTTTTGGCGCCAATTTGAAGAAGCAATCTCTTTGCAGGTCCCTTTATTACAAGGAACGCTCGTTGAGCTTGAAGTTGGGCTCGGCTAGCTAAAATTCTAGCGGATTTTTACTACGGTGAAAGATCGCGAATCAGATCATATTTGAGACTTAATTAACACCCCGATCGGAGTCAAACATTAATCTGTAATCCAGAAATCGAGTGAAGGGAACTGCTCTCTTTCTCTGCTTCTTTCGGCAGTTTCTGGGTCTTTGCGCAAAAAAATGAAAAAATGTTATCAGTAAGAAGGAAAAAAAAAAGAAGACAGAAAGAAAGAAAGAAAGAAAGAGAAAAAACACACACTCTCAACTGACAGGATAGGTACTCGCACTTCTTCGTCAGCTGTTAGACCTGTTAGTTTCGAGTGCTAAAATAAAAGATACATTTGATCTCTGAATTATGTCACGATCACAAAACCCACCGTCTGGGAAAGAAACACTTCTCGCGCGGTTCCTAATACAAATAAAGGTAAAGAAAAAAACCTGTAAAGTTAACCGTGCAAACGTATTTGGAAGAAAAAATTAAAGCAGAAGGGAGTTCCAAAACAGTTTTTCTTCAATGGCCGACTTTCGTGATGTAGTACCAGTAGTATCTCTGCTGTCATACCGCTGAACTAATAAAGGCAAGTAGAATGTTTGTGGCTGTCTGCAACATTAAAAAAGCGGCTGCTTTTGCAAATTGATTGGCGCCAAAAAGGGAGCCCTTTCCAATTTAATTTATTTCTTTGAGTCATTCTGCACATAATTATTATACTACGCATGATTATGTCATTCCGCAAGCCATGCCACATGCTATTCCGCAATCTCGTTCCGTCTTTTAACCTTACCTTAAAACTTAACAACGATTTTTGCGGTCAGACAACGGACGAGGTTGGTCAGACAAATTTTAGGGGCTAAAGTGTCTCCTGAATTGACGTTAAATCCGGGTTTCGGGACCGGAAAAACTGTCCATTTCCCTCAATAGAGATGTCTCTTCAACAGAGGTAACAAATACAAAGTTTTTGTGAGCGTTTTTCTGAGACAAAATTCTTGATTTGCTTTAGGGGCGTTAAACATATGGAAAATGGTCGAGGAGGATGACAGAGTAGTGGACGTGTTTTATAACCTTCGAGAGTTAAGACACGAAATCTCTCTGGGATTTGCAAACAATATGGCACCTATAAAATTGTTTTGTCAACTTGAAAATAAAAAAATAAAATAAAACTATGCATACATAATTCGCACATGAACAATAAAAACGCCTAAAGTTACCTTTTGATAAACTTAAACTTCGTGGATCGTTCAAAGCAGTTTTAGCTCTAATCAAAGAAGAAGCCCCTAGTTTCATAGGTGCAGTTAGGTATGTGAGGTAGAGAAGGGGGGCCATCAAGTAGTTTAAGGCCTTGGACTAAGGGGTTTACCTGTAGAAAATGAAATATTGGCTATAACTTTGGCATAGATGATGGCACTGGATCAAAATTTGGCACAAAAAAGAACTCATCGTCCTTAACATTTTAAAGTATAACTTTTATGTTTATAAGTCACGTGATATGTCACGTGACCATTTTGCTAAAATTGTAAATTATTATCCAATTGGTGGCCGGTTTAATGAAAGAAGTCGAGTAATAACATTTTTCTGATTCATGTTAAATATTTATAACACTTAACGTTTTGAATGACCGTCCACTGCCCTTCAATAAAAAATTATGAGGGCAAACATCATTATTTTAAATGCCCAAAATTAATCATGAATTATTTAAAACTTATTTGAAACAGTTTCGAGTGGATGCGAATATTTGTTAAACTGGGGGTCAAAACTGGTGCATGGCTATGGGCATAAGTGCGTCGTTTATTAGTTAAAGAGGTTATTAAGTTGAATAATCATTTTGAATAATAAATAACGCCGTATGTCTAATCAATACAAATATAAAAGAATCACGGCCATTCTGAAAAAGTTGTCATCTGAAAAACCCTGAAAATGTTCATCATGTTTCGAGCATGTATTGCACACCAAAAAAATCAGTTACCGACAAGATTTGAACCACTGAGCTCTCTGTTCAGGGATTGCCTGAAAATCCAACAAATGTTTTCTCAAATTCCAAACTTATTGATCTTATTCATTCCGAAGTTTGAACCCTGGGGCAATCCATTAGTTTGTTTTTTCTTTAGTTTATAGTCGACTTGATTTCGGTATTTTTGACATGGAAATATTTTGTACAGTTAAATCAATCAACGATGCGTGTCAGCGTCTGTTCTCGACCTAATATACTCCTAATAAACTCCTTTTTTATATTGCACAGTGGGTCTGATCAGTTATCATCTTAAACGATTGTTTACAAAGAGTTATGAAGTAAATGGTAATTCAGCCTTCAGCCTCGTTTTCATACTGGACCGTAGGGAACGTAACAAAAACATGCCGGCATTAATCAGGGAGTCTTGTTCTACCAAAATCCGGCATCAAACCTTTTCTGACCTGTGGGTTGAACGAAACGCGAAACTACAATTTTCCGACCTCGACCTGGGGACGAGGTTGATACTAGACTAATATGGGTTAGCAGCTGAACGTAATAACTTGTCACGTGATACGCTTCAACGCCAGTCAAACTCCGCCGCCGCACCCTCACTAGTTCAAACCATCTGTAAAATGGATCCTTATTCGTGGTGTAAAGACTTATTGACTCCTAAAACCTTTAACAGGTTCAGTTTTGTGGCAAATGTTTGTTGGATTATAATCGCAATAGTGTTTCTTGCAATATTTTCGGACACGGAAAACAATGAACCGAGGTTTGACTGGAGTTGTGCTTTGAACAGTGCTGATGCCGATGACTCCATAGAAGGAAATTGTTTCGTGAAATACGAAGGGTTGTACAACAAACTCTCTGTTCCTCCTTACCTTTTCGTCTTTGGGAACTTCTCTCTTCCTCTCATTGTTTGTGCGATATATGCAGCATTGGCTAAGCCAAGAGTGACAAAAGTGAGTTCTCTTGTAAACAGAGCGGACGTCGAAAGAGGACAGGATGAAACGGTGAACTCAAGTCGTCAAAGAAAACTCTTCACAGCATACTTTTGTCAACTTATCACCAGGCTCTGTCTCGGGATTGTGTTTATCGTCTTTCTGCAAACTGAACTATTTTATCCTCGTAAATTTCCTTCAAACTTCAAGTGTAATGTCACGAGAGGAGCAGTTAATCAAACAGCTAATGCAACTGGGAACGCACAAACTCAAACATATGAATGTAACACTAAGCGAGCACATAAGAAGACCTCGTATATGTATGCCTTACGCGGAGTTGATGGATTTTTTGAATTTATTCTTTTACTTGAGATTTTTATCATTTTGTCGCGTGTAAGAAAAGGAAAACAGTTCATGAATGACCAACAGTTTTATACTGATCATCTTAAATCGAATTATGATCCCCAGAAAGAGTCTTCTGGTGAACAAAATTCACGACAAGAAATAACTCTGACGCTTATATCACAACCAGAATTGCAAGATTCACAGGAGGAAGAAAATCGCGAAATACTGGAAACAGAACATTTACCTCAGTTACAAAATTGTTTAAAGCGCATGAAGAAAAGTGTCTTACAGACCACCGATCGACTTAGAGATCTCTCTTCACCCTTCAAACCGAACCCGGGCGAAGGCGATAAACCTAAAGATCTTAAACTGGACCAAATTTATACTAAGTTAATTATTCATCCTGGAAGAGCCTATTATCACTTTTCTGAAAACAGGCGAGAACAGCTACAAGTGTACCCCAAACCAGAGGAAAATTTACCACCGAAAGGACCCGGAGACATTGTTGATGATCAGCACAAGAATATTCTTATCGTTGGTCGCCCTGGAATTGGCAAAACGCTGTTTTGCACAAAGTTTATGCGCGACTGGGCAAGCGACCGCTTATTCGATGAAGCGCAAAATTCAGAATTACGATTTGACGTTGCTTTCCTCGTTAAATTTAGGAGACTGAACTCTGCTGCAGAGCTTAACCTTCGAGAACTTTTGAATAAATCAGAATTTTCAACACATATGAATGATGTGGTATGGAACTACATTCGTGAAAACCCAAGCAAAGTGCTTTTTATTTTCGATGGAATTGACGAATTCTCTGCAAGGAAAAACATACAAGAAGATGACTCTATTTATGAAAACACTGTGGAAGCTAAAATGCCTTTATATGCTTTGTACACGAAAATTGCGTCGGGAAAACTTCTTAATGGAGCCACTGTTTTAACGACTACAAGACCTACTGCCGTATCATGCGTAAGAGATCTTGAATTCAGCAGAGTAGTTGAAATTCTTGGATTTTCATCTGGGAAAGTGAAAAACTATGTGGAGAAGTTCGCAGGGGATGACAAAGATGCAGGAGAAACGATATGGCAACATATCAGCAACAACCTTAACCTCTTTTCGTTGTGCTATATACCGGTAAACTGTTTCATCATTTGTTCCTGCTTGCTATACATGCTGCAGAACTTTGGTTCCAATTCCATTCATGGTTTAACTAGCCTGCCAACTAAGCTAACCGATATATACAGCTTCGCCGTAAAGCTTATGTTCTTCAGGCTCAGTGACAGATACCGCAATAAAACTGATGTTCAGGAAGAAATTTTCAAAACATTCGATGAGCTGGCTGAAGACGTGAAAGAGGATTTTAAGAAACTGGGAAAAGTTGCTTTTAAAGGAATTAAAGAAGGAAGATTAACGTTTGAATCTGACGAAGTTACGAACCTAGAGGATTGTGGCCTACTTCACCGCTTGCCTGATTTAAAACCAGAGGCGAAGCGATCCCTCGAAAAACCAAAAGCTCAATACTGTTTCCAGCATCTGACCATCCAAGAGTTTTTCGCAGCAAAGCATGTGACAGACAACATGGAAGAAGCCGAATTGCGACAATTTGTTAAAAGTCACATCGCGGACGGTGCATGGCAAGTGGTGTTGCAGTTTGTGGCTGGACTTCTCAGTGACCGAGATAAACGACTGACTTACATTTTCACGAACCTTCTGCCAGTGTCGACATATGAGGAAGAACAAGAGGAACTGGAGCCCGGCATAGTAACCTGTTGGCCAAGGGAGGTAGATGCAAATTTAGCGTTAACGTTATGTCACTGTTTATATGAGATTGACGCAGATGATTCAGCCGTGCAAAACAAAGTAAGAGAGATTGGTTTTAATGCTGTAGTGTTTGAAGATTGTGCACTAAGATCTGTTGATTGTACTGCAATAGCCAATTTTCTTAAAAAGCAGAACGAAATTTTAATGATTGACTTGCATGATAACGAGGTTGGCTGCCTGGGATGTAAAGAAATAAGCAAGGTTCTCAGTGATGGTAACTGCAAACTTAGCAGGTTAAGGCTCGGTCGTAACAGTATAACCGATGAAGGAGTAAAGTACTTGGCTGAAGCATTAAAGCACAGTAATTGCAAATTAAATAGCTTAGACCTCACCGGTAACGAATTTGCCGATGAAGGAGTAAAGTATTTGGCTGAAGCTTTGAAGTACAGTAACTGCAAACTAAACAACTTAAACCTCGCCGAAAGACATTTAACCAATGAAGGAGTAAAGTATTTGGCTGAAGCTTTGAAGGACAGTAATTGCAAATTAAACAGCTTAAACCTCAAATGTAACAAATTAACTGATGAAGGAGTAAAGTATTTGGCTGAAGCTTTGAAGGACAGTAATTGCACATTAAACAGTTTAAACCTTAGCTATAACGAATTTACCGATAAAGGAGTAAAGTATTTGACTGAGGCTTTGAAGTACAGTAATTGCAAACTAAACAGCTTAGTCATGTCAAACCTTTTCGGAAGACATTTAACCCATGAAGGAGTAAAGTATTTAGCTGAAGCTTTGAAGGACAGTAATTGCACATTAAACAGTTTAATCCTTAGCTTTCACAAATTTACCGATGAAGGAGTAAAGTATTTGGCTGAAGCTTTGAAGGACAGTAATTGCAAACTAAACAGCTTAGATCTCGAACACAACAATTTAACCAATGAGGGAGTAAAGTATTTGGCTGAAGCTTTGAAGGTCAGTAATTGCAAATTAAACAGCTTAAACCTCCGTCGTTACCCAAGTCAAAACTTAGTGACAGATGAGGGAGTGAAGTATTTGGCTGAAGCTTTGAAGGACAGTAATTGCAAACTAAACAGCTTAAACATCGCCGAAAGATATTTAACCAATGAAGGAGTAAAGTATTTAGCTGAAGCTTTGAAGGACAGTAATTGCAAACTAAACAGCTTACACCTTGCCAAAAACAATTTAACCAATGAAGGAGTAAAGTATTTGGCTGAAGCTTTGAAGGACAGTAATTGCAAACTAAACAGCTTACACCTTACCGGAAACAATTTAACCAATGAAGGAGTAAAGTATTTGGCTGAAGCTTTGAAGGACAGTAATTGCACATTAAACAGTTTAATCCTTAGCTATAACAAATTTAACGATGAAGGAGTAAAGTATTTAGCTGAAGCTTTGAAGGACAGTAATTGCACATTAAACAGTTTAATCCTTAGCCATAACAAATTTAACGATGAAGGAGTAAAGTATTTGGCTGAAGCTTTGAAGGACAGTAATTGCAAACTAAACAACTTAGATCTCCACTCAAACAATTTAACCAATGAAGGAGTAAAGTATTTGGCTGAAGCTTTGAAGGATAGTAATTGCAAACCAAACAGCTTAAGCCTCGCCCGTAAGAAATTAACCGATGAAGGAGTAAAGTATTTGGCTGAAGCGTTAAAGGACAGTAAATGCAAAATAACAACTCAATTATGCTGCTCGCCTTTTACAAATTAACCGATGAAGGAGCAGGGTATTTGGTTAAGACTTTGAAGGACAGTAATCACAAACTAAAACAACTTGTGCCTCTTTGGTAACCTCCATGTAAGCGATGAAGGGACATCGTGTATGGTTGAAGCTCGGGCGCCATGTGTTAAGGCCTCTTGGACTATAAAACTAAATTGGGGCAGGGGGGGTGAGTGAACAGAGTTGTGTTCGCAAAGAGCAAACAGCTCGCATTCAAACAGCTTTACTGGATTTCCTGACTTTAAAACAGCGAGACAGAAGTAGACTAGTGCAATAATAGGACAATCAGCTGGGAAGAGTAATTGTAGTAACGTATTATTTTACTTTCTGATAATTGCTGATTGCGAACACTGCTGATAGGAAATCAGGAACCCGGCTAATTTTGTACAGTTTCAGTTTTGCAATGTAATGTTTTAGTATAGAAGAATTTAAGTCTTTATGTTCTGGTTCAATTTTATCCTCGGCTTAAATTATATTTCCCTTTGTTTCTGGGTATGGTGATGTATGATAATGAGTTTAAAACAAAGGGTAATAAAATTTAAACCAAGAATAAAATTAAACCACAACACTAATCTTTCATTTACTTCTGGCATGTCTTTGAAAAAAGGGCTGCATATTTTAAATTGCTGTAAATTAGACAGGAGACTTTCATTAAGTTTACTGTAAAAAAGTAGCTGTACATATTCAACGAATAGTATGAATGATATATTAAATACAATTAGATTTCATGAATTTGAGTGATACTGGACCAAGAGTGAGAAAATTAAGTCACTTCTGGGGAGGAGGTGGGAGGGAAGAGTTTGCCACATCTCAATACTCCCTCATTTTGTGGTTGACATTCTTGGGTTCATCGCCTTTTGAAATCAAATATAGTTTCTCTGTCACCAGCTATGATCTAGACGTTCTCTGTTTTCTACTGGCAGAATCCGTGGTCTTAACCTGCAGGGTATTCTGGGGTCCTGTATTCCACAGTATCCCGGAACTGTCAATCACACTAGAAGACACAGTCACGTGATAAATAGACTGTGTACTAAACTGGAGAAGGAACTGGGCACTAAAGTAATCATGGTGGGGAACCACTGTTTGTTCTAAGCTGGTCACGTGATCTCGAGAAGTCTGAAATAAAGAAAATACACCAAAATTTCAGAAATCTTTTACACTGCTGGTGTTGCAAGCACCAGAGAAACCAGTACAGAAATCGGTAAAGCGTGACGTAACAGTCTTACGCGCGCAAAGCGCACGAGCTTCACACGCCCGTAAGGTCTCTCCCCAGTCTCGCTCTCGTTTTTAGCCTCGTTCCAGACCTTTTGTTTGACTGCTTGCGCGTAGGTACTTGAATACGCAAAAATACGGACTGTTTTGCAGTCTACACTCAGTGAGTCTGAAGGGCCAAAAGCTACTGTGAGTCTAGAAACAAATACAAACCTTTCCATCTATGGGTTGTTGCTTTCTGTCCTCAGCGCGCCATGTTACTGACAAGCAAACAGACTGCACATCGCGGTAAAGTCCTATAAACAAGAAAAACAACACAAACTAAAATTGTATAGTGAAGGTAACTCCATAATCCAAGTTTGAGTCTTTGTATTGTAAACAAGGGATTGGTTATGGCTTTGAGCTGAGACTTACAGCCTCAGACATCAAGGCGGACGATTTTGCACAATACGTCGTTAGCCACTTCAGGAGAAAGGTGCAACTATGAAGTGGAATGACTACTAAACAAAGGTTGATATGAGCATAACATTCATTTAAAAAGATAGCCTGTGACATCGTAGTTGTTTTTCCAAGTTGAAACCAAATGTAAAACCATTTGGGGAAAATTAAGTTGCGAACATTACATCGGGTTACACTACAATACTGTAGTAAAAGATTGTGTTTACACTGCTAACAAGACTCTGACCTAGCTTTTGACTGCGCTCTATGACTCCTTCCACCTTAAGAACAAATTGTGTATCCAGTGTGACCGAAAATGGTTCTGAAGGGGACCGAGGCGAAGGCGACAACGCCAGCTGCATGATACAAAGAGAGACCAAGATTAGCAAAACGAATTGTTGTTCAAAACGTGAGGATGATTGGTAAATAAGAGTTACAGAAAGTATGCAGATTCAAGTTGTGCTGTCACAAGAAAGGAATTTCTACCTAATGTTCATTCATTTCAAACATGTTGCGTCCTGTCTCTTAATGATTATAACTAATTTAAAAAAGATTCTTTTATACGGACTGCGAAATAAAATTAGCATCTTTTCCATTCCCGCCCTTTTTTACTACAGGAGGTTCAGTGGCTTTTTCAGCTTTTTCCATGAAAGAAAACACCCGACTTCACCCATTATTACTGGTTCTGTGCTAGTTCAACAGAAAAACTCCCTCTAGTACATTTCAGTTTCCTTTTAGTATCAGGCAAAGACAATGTCTTTTCTGAACTGTGTAAAACTTATGTGAACCAAAGACAACGACATCATATAATGCAAGGTTGGTTCAGAAAAGCCAAATGAAGCGCGCAGCGAGCGATATAACGGTTATAAACACGGCAACTAGAAAACAAAATTCCACGACGTTTATAAAGCCAACAACATCAAGACTGTATACAGGGGAGGCACTCCTAACAGACACCCTCGTAAGAGGACAGCTTTACTCACGGCTTCCTTCTCAAAACTCTGTTTTTCTCAACTCCCATACAAACTCTGTTTTTCACATTCCCGCAAGCGGCCAGCTCCAGTTACGGGCACCTTTTTCGCGTCCCGAGGGTGTGCGCTCACGAGAGCTTCCGCTGTACAAGCAATTTAGGACTCAATGTAATAGATCCATGGAAAATTCTTGACAACAAACCTTGATAAACGTGGCTTGCTGACTGGAAAAGAAGTGTTTTGGGAAAATAAACGGCACCTTCAGGAGAGTCATGGAGGCCCGAATGAGACATTCAGTTTGCTGGAAAAAGATAAAATGCATAACCAGAAATCAATATCATAACATTTCCCAAGTTAACTAGTCAAAAAATACTCTGCAGCGCTATTCATTTTCAAAAGTCTTTTTGGTGTTTGAAAAGTGAGCCAGCTGTTAGTATCCAAGCCAGTTATTCATCGATTCAGAAAAAAAAATAACTTAAGGAAGTTTTCACACCTTCGTACATTAATTTTGATTCCTTTACTGATTAAATTACTTTATTAGCAAGTGAAACCAGTGTACTGAAGTATAAAAAACTTCATTAATTTACTATGTCTAGTCAGTGTTCAGTACATGTATTTGATTACATAGATATCATTAAATGATTCATCACTTTACCAAGTGGCAAACAGGAAGAGCTTCCAGCTGAATTGCTAGCTCCTGAAGAGATAAGAAAAAATCTACAGTAAAAGTCACATAAAAAAAATAACATTTGGTTACTGTAGTTAGCTTGTTGAAACAAACAACAACAACAACAAAAAACTGGCGGAGATACCTGGCCAGGAGCTTCTTCGTAAGGCGAGTGATACATGTTTTAAAGATGAAGGAGCTAGTTTTCATTTAAAGAAATTCTGGAGCTACTTTCGTGGAAATAAACACTTTTTTATAGCTGAGTATCGTTGGTGAGGTGTACTAATATAATACAATATAATACACTGTTTACAGGTAGCCATTACGACTACTGACAGAGGATCACAAGGTTATCCCTATACTAAGATCTCTCCTTACAGATGGAACCCACCCAGCCCAGGAAAGGTTGGCCACACCTCCCGGGTCTACGTCCCCTACTTTTTTTAAACAGTAGTGTGGGCCTTTTAACGTCCCAAAAGGGCGACCAGAACTGAGGAAGCTATCGTGAGCAGTTTATCTAATGATACGCAACCTGTGGGACTGGTGGAACGGAAAGGGAACGCGCGAGGAAGCAGAAAAGGAAACCTTCATGTACTCTCTTCTCGCGGGACTTTACATGGAATTAGTCTGAAATATCACACGTCTCCACCCGCTTACACGGCGGAGGCTGGGGAGAGAGAGATCCCCACGGGTTAGGGGGTGCAGACGTATGACATTTCAGATTACAACACCAATAAAAGAGACATCGATATTTTTGTTACTCTTAGTCCATTAACATTTGAAGTCAATGACAAACCTCTACTGTTTGTAGAATTTCTGTGCACGCCAGGGAAAGTGGACTACGTCTAAACGTGGAAGACTTGTTGACACTGCTTCCTTGCTCACCCAAAGACGAGCTACAAACAAATCCACATATATGTTGTAGTTAATTTTTTATCTCAGGTAATTTTTATTTTTCTTTTGTTTCAACTTCATTAGCATAGATTTCCATACCCAAAAACAAAAGAAAAATAAAAATTACCTGAGATAAAAAATTAACTACAACATATACGTTCAGAGGTTTACAGATGAGCTTGTTAAAAATCGCACATATATTGAATTTAAGCTCGAGAAATATTGTCATGGAAGCCCGTTAATGGGCCCCTCAGTAGATACAGACAAATCTTTCCGAGGTCTACCACGCATGTAAAGCCTCGGTGACATAACGTAACGCAACGTAGAGAAACCCAACGCAACTTTAAGTAGAATTACTCAACATCACGAAACGTAACGTAACGAAGAGCACCGGACGACTTATCACATTCAAAACATCCTAGCTACATATACGTTGTCAGTCCAGGGCCAAACTGAGAAAAGTACATTACACTCTTGTGAACATTACGCGTTAAATAACTAAATTAACTTGTTTAACCTTGGCTGAGAAGTTTTCATCAAGACATCAATACTGTGTGATATCATTAAACAGCTCTGTTGAAGACTGACAGAGAAACTTGTCAAGGAATTTTAATTGATCAACTTTAAGTTAACCTTTTTCAGGAAAAAAAATGCAGAGTATA